CTTATCCCCAGGAGAGGCTCGGGGCTGGATGCGCCTCCTGCAGGCATGGGAACCACGCTGCTGCCGTGGTGCAAGAACACGGGATGCCCACACCCAGGGCGTTCAGCCACCAACTGCCCCAACACCAGAAGTGTTTCAACTTGCTCTGACAAAGATACCGGTGTAAAGGGGGGAAAGGGAGGGGGCAAATCAGGACAAATGGCCCAGGAAAAGCCGTCAGGCTGGGCCACAGCTGGACTTCCAGGCAGCATGGGGGACAGGGTGGGCACTCAGAGTCAGTTTCCTGTATAAGCTTTCCAAATCAATTCCATGTTTTATTGCCATTCTCCAGACCACAGGTACCCGGTTCTGCCCAGCTGCTGTGTGCTACAGACCAATTTGGCTATCTTGTGCTCGGACAAGATACTTGAGCTCTGCTCCCAACCACATAAACCCAACCAAAAAAAAAACCAAGCAAGCAGCCCAGGTCATTCTTCACCTCTTCCAAAACCACTACGAATTCAAGGCCACTGAATCTCCACACAAAGTTTCAGGTAAGAGCAAAAGAGATCCAAGTCTCCATAGCAGACACATCATATCCTATGTAAACTCTTCCAAGGGCTCAGAGCTGTCCTAACTACACCAGCAGGCAACACTTGAACCGCAACGTTTCACAGAAAGCGGGGGGTGTCTGTGCAGAAGAGAGAAGCTTTGAGAACACGGCTGCACAACACCCTCCCCCCCAAAATGGGGGCAGGGAGAGAGGCTGACAGCCCCTTAGTCCCGTGTCAGTCTATTGCCTTGGATAAACAAGCCTGAGACAACCGTATCGAGTCCCTGCTCCTGTGTCTTTGTCTAGACCTGGAAAGGAGAGGCAGAGCTGGACGCAGAGCGCAACATCCCCCAGCAGCAAGCAGCTCATGACTGCGTTAAGTCACGAGAACAAGTTCCTGGCTAATGATGTTCTTCCCTGAAAAGCTAGGGAGCCAGGGGGAGGAGGCAAAAAGAGCATTCAACGCACAGAGCTCACCCCAACCTAGGAGGGGGGGGGGGGAGACAACAGCCATCACTCACCTCATCCTCCTGCTAGAACGCTGCTGCAGAGACTCCCACTGCAAACAGGCTCTTCTCCAGGGGCTCTCCCTCTACTCTGGAAAAGCTGCGAGAGACATCTGACTCCAGAACGCTGCCTTCACCTCAGCTCTCCCAGCTGCTGTTAACGATGGCACAGCACGCTCCCTGCAGCTCGCTAGTGCAGAGGAGCCTACTGGGAAATAGCCTGGACCCCTTCTGCCCCCACCCCCCACGAACATAACTAAAAAATACCGACCCTTTTTTCATCAATAAATAAGGAATCTTGTTACCACAACACAAAAACGAAACATGTTCAAAGTGCAAATTACTGTCGTCAAACTGGGATGCTCCTCCTTGCCTCTCCCACGCAGGGCTCCCGTAGCCCCCGGGCCTCTCCAGGCAAACATGATCTATGAGCCAGGGCGTTCCCTCAACTTCCTGCCAGAGCTGGAGCAGAGGAGCGCGGTGGGGAGAGGGACGTGCGCTGCTTCACAGCTCACCCTGCTGAGGGGGCCTAAAGTGCCAAGCCAAACTCCCAGCCCCGGGAGGAAGAATGAGACTGCAAGGACCAGAGTGCAGCGATGCATAGAAGTAGGGACCAGGGGCGAGAGGGAGTCCTAAGAAACTTGTCCAGAGCACATCAAATGCTTTCTAGTTTGCAAGTGGGGCCACGTCAAGGAGCCAGAAAGGCATCTGCTTTGGGGTAGAGCGAAGGGTTTCAGGAGTCCCCCCTCCCTTGAAGAAATCCATCGCTCAATCCAGCTTGCTCTGGTAATGGCAGCATGTGCCCCTTTCTACAAAGGAGCAGTAGGAGAGAGAGAAGTGGTTGGGAGAAAGAGGATGTGCTGTGATCCACGCTGGAGGGGAGCAGACCCTTCGGATATTTACTAGTATTGTAAGTTTTGTTTAACTTTCTCTCTTTCAGTAAGTATCTCCTCTTTTTTTTTTTTTTTTCCTTTTAAATACAGAGTCCAAACTGTCCCAGCACCCATGGGCTCCCCACCCACTACGGTTCAGTGGAGTCTGAATCTTCAATGAGCACCTCTGTGGTGGCTCCCAGGATCTCTGTGTTCATGACCAGCCCCTCCGGGTTTGTACTACTGCCGCTGCCCACAAAGAGCTTGCCATCAGCCACCAGGCTCACGCGCTCTGCCCCACCGCAGTACGTCTTCGGCATCCCGTCAGGGTTCAGCAACAGGCAATCTGCTGGGGCAGCACTTCCCAGGGGGTCGGGAAGAAGGGGGAGGCCCTGGCCATCGGTGGGTGGTGCAATGGCCTCAGGGTTAGTGCCCAGGATGTCGGTGCTGGTGATCAGGGCACCTGCATTGGCAGCCAGTGCTTCAGCAATAAGCACTTCAGGGTGGCTCTTGGCTTTGTGGGCCACAACGCTGTCCTTCTTCTCAAATTTCTTGCCACAAATGTTGCAGGAGAACTGGTAGAAGGAGTCCGCATCATGCTTCTTCATGTGCCAGTTGAGGGAAGCCTTCTGCCGGCAGGTGAATCCACAGATCTCACACCTGGGAGGGGAGAATGGGGAGGTCACAACAAAGGGACATCCACACACACTTGTGGCAGCTGCAGTAGCAAAGAGGCAGCCCAGGGAAACAGCAGGGGCTCCCTAAAATGGGATGTCACTGCAGCTCCAGCTCCCCCAGTTTTAATGGCAGAGGGCTTGCGTTCCTCAGCTCTCTACTGAGACACTGCCTCAAGGAGCAGGGTAGACAAGCGGCAGCTCAAACACTCCCACAGGCCTGTATTTAAAGAGAGCTGGGACACCAAGAACAGGTCCCAGCCCTGACTTCAGAGCTGCTCCTGCTCTCAGTGCAGTCCCAAGCATGGGTGTACCCAAGGGTCCCCCAAAGTAGGAGAGCAAAAGACAGGCAGAGGTACTCACTGCAAGGGCTTCTCGCCTGTATGGATCATTCGGTGCACCGCCAAGTTATGAGAACTCTTAAATGCCCGGGCACAGTACTCACAGATGTAATCCCTTTGATCTAAAAAGCAACACCAGTTGGAGCATTAATCTCCCGCAGACCTGCTCCCTCTCCTAGCTCTCACGTGGTGCAGGTAAAGCTGCCCAAGAAGCAGCAGAACTAGAAGTGCTGGGAGGCCAGGCGGCATAGCAAAGGAGGAGGTGTCCCACAGTACACCACAGCAGCTGATCTGGAGAGTTAAGGCGTGATTAAGACTCTCCTAAGAGCTAATTATCCATTCTGACCAATACTGAAGGACTGGCAACTGAGTGTAAAGCTTAGCTTGGTTTATTCCTCTGCAGAACCCCTGAGTGATACCTGCCGGGGGTGAATTAAAAACTCAATAGCCTATTCCTTTCACTTCCTTAAAAGATGGTAATCCAGGAGGAAATAATACGCTGCTGCAAATCGATGCCGCCTGCCCCCAGAAGTCCTAGAGGCTTTTCCATTTCCCCCGCCCCCCGGCCCCGTTCACTGAGCTGAGGAGTAATTTGCCTTTACTGCCCACCTCCCTCTCCCTGTGTGGTGTTTGGCATGCCGCAGGAGCTGCTTCTGGAGTCGGGAGAGTCGAGCGCAGATGAGGACACACATATTTTTTCTTCAGCAAGTGCTGGTACTTTATGTGATGCTGTAGAGGAAGAGTGAAAGGTGTAGACTCTCTCTTTATGTGGCTAAGAACAGCTGAGATACATCGGTCCCAGGTGGCCCCTCAGCAGGCCACCAGACACCAGTCACTGACAAGACACCCTTATACCATAAACCTGACCACCACTGAGAGAAGCAAGCCAAGCCAGTGTGGACATCTAGCCACAGGACAGATACAGAGACATACATGGCCACAATCGATTCAGTCTACCAAAACGACAGCGTTAGAAAGGAGCGCTTCGATGCCAGTGGAGGATTAGCTTCCTGTTCCAAATGGCCCTTCCCTGCCCTCGCACATGCCATTCAGGAAGTGAGAAATCTCAACCAACCTGCAGGTAACGCGGGTGAGCCAAGACTGTGCCACAGCCTTCCATCTCGCAGCGGACATACTGTATCGGAGGCTTCTTCCTAAGAAGTCAGCAAGGAAACGGGCAGAGTGGTTAGCTGATGCATCTGCAGCCAGGGCAGCAGCAAGATAAACGAGCGGGAGCGCAGCTCGGTGATATGAGAGCAAAGGATTACTGCTCCAATAGTCCTGTTTGGGCTACACTGACAGAGAGCCTAAACGAGAGTTCCCTCCTCCTAGCCTGTCCTGGTTTTGGCCAGGACAGTGTTAATTTTCCTCCTAGCAGCTGGCCCAGCACTGTGTTTTGGATTTAGCAGGAGAAGAATGTTGATAACACACTGATGTTTTAGTTGTTTCTAAGCAGTACTTAGACAAGTCAAGGACTTTTTCAGCTTCTCCTGCTCTTCCAGGTACACGGGAAGCTGTGAGGGGGCACAGCCGGGACAGCTGACCCCAACTGGCCAAAGGGGGATTCCATAGCATATGGCGTCATGCTCAGTGTATGAACTGGGGGGAGTTGGCAGGAGGAGCAATCGCTGCTCAGGGACGGGCTGAGCATCAGTCAGCGTGTGGTAAGCAATTGCACTCTGCATCACTTGCTTTGTATATTCTGTATATTCTCGTACCATTATTATTATTATTCTTTTCCCCTGTTATTTTATTAAACTGCCTTTATCTCAACCCACAGGGTTTACTTCTTTTCCGATTCTCTCCACCATCCCACCAAGGGAAGGTAGCACGACTTGAGGGCTCTCCCCAGAGCTGAGAAAACCCCGAGACATGGGGTTCCCAGAACCTTATCACCACACAACAGCAGGCTAGGGATCAACTCAGAAGGGGGTAAGGAAGGGGCTGGTTCAGTTGGAAGAAATCAAACCCACACCTACAGGGAAGAAGGGGGAAGGGAAGAAGGGAAGTCAAGGCATGCTGCTGGGTTGTTTTTGTTTTGTTTTTCTTCCCTTTAAGGCAGATTTTTATATTGTGCAAGAGAGATGACTGAGACAATCAACATCTCTGCGTAGGACACAAGGGAAGCAAAGTCTTCAGAACAGAATTGAGTAGATGGGATCACTTACCTTCTCTTGGGCAGCCTTGGGCTCTTGTCATCCTTTCTCCTCCTTCCCCTCCTGTAACAGGGTTACAGAAACAGAACCGAAAGAAGCTTCTTTACATCGGTAGTGGGCAGAGTTTTTAAGTGCGTGCTATAAAGCAGGAGCATGCTGTAGGGAATACTACAGAACTCTACTATGCTTTTAGGCTGAAAAGTAACACTGCACCCAGCAAGTCAGCCACGCTGGCGAGTCGGCCACCTGCTCTGGATCAAAATGCCTGAAGAGTTTCTAAGGAAACGCCCTTGTAACAGAGAGGCAGGCTCCCTAAAGAAGTTAAGTAATCAGGCCTCCACGAAAATTGTCCCTGCATTTGGCAGAACTGCCACACCACACAGAAGACAGCTCCCTGTGGAGCTGTGGTGCCCACATTTCTGATACCTGAGCGACACTTTTTTCTGCACGACGTGTGGTGGCATGTAGCCTCTGCCAACAGAGTCAGTCTGCGGCTGCATGGGGCTACTACCTGCTGGGTCTAGCGTACAACACATTTTTGAACGTGGTTGCCTAGCTCAAATACGTCTCAGCCCACCATTCACAACTGTGCAGACCCCAGTAAATGGGTATCAGACAGGCACAGCCCAACAGGCCGCGGTTAGAAATTACCAGCTCTTTCACCACAACGGAGTGAGGAAGGGCTATTTTAAAAAACCTTCGACCAGGCATCACACGTCTCACATTTTTTCTTTTAAACCTGCAACCGTCCAAACAACGTGCGACCTTATAATCATATTCATCCCTTTCCAGGCTGCACATCAGCACACAAGATTCTGCTCTTCTAAGTTTCTGCTGCAGACAGTTGCAAGCTATTGCCTCATTAACTGTGAGCTCTAGAAAAATAAATCAAGTGCAAGTTGGAGGCAAACTCAGAGGAAGGCAACATTCTCGAGAAATAAATGCTTCATGTGGTTTGCTCTCACAACCCCTCTCATTTCTTAACGCATATTTTATAAACATGTAATTTTGCCAACACAGTCCAGAATTGACGGTGCACCCCATTTCCTCTGCTCTGTTAGGTAACATCTCATACCATGTGAAAAACATCAATCTGCATGACTAGGAAGAATGGGATTTGTGATCTAGCAGCTATTTTACAGTCCTCTGTCAAGGACTGCCTGTCAAGGCAAAGATCTACGCTCCATCTGAGCAATTAACTGTAGCAGCTTATACACCTGTCAAGGCAAAGATCTACGCTCCATCTGAGCAGACCTATGCTGGCATATAAAATGTACCCTCCCAACAATAGCTCTGCCCAGCACATTGTGCCTGCGTGATCATATTGCTGGGTAGACACCATGTATTGATGTAAGTCTTTTCTAGACTGTACCGAGACATCTTTATTGACAGCAAGACCATGCCAATAACATGCTGAACAGGCACTCAGCATTCAAGCCAAGCCTTCAGAAGAGGCACAGGTTTTATTATGCACAAAAGCAGCGTCTGGTCCAAACAACACAACCATAAGCCTCAGAAAGCCACCTCTAACAGGAAAAAAGTTCTCAATATATCAGCATCCTTACTCCTCTCCAACATAAATCACCTCTGCAGCAGCTTAGAAACAGCAAGAGAAATTAAAACAAAGGTGTGCAGAGCCCCACACTGCAGACCAGCAGAGGGAGTCCCATTTGTTCCAATTGCTCACAGAGGAGCTAAAGTACAAAAACTGCTTCCTCCCCACTATCCCAAAGAATAGCTTTGACACAGATGCATAAATCCTATCTCCCTCAGCTGCTAGAAGGAAAGCTTCGGTCTTAAGCTCCAGTGACAGCATACCCAATGGTTTTGAGTCTCCACTCAAAGCACTAGCAACTGACTAGGTAGCAAAGGTTTGTTCTTTCACCTCTCCAGGACGAGGGAGAACACAACTGTTTATCCTGAGCTCTGGTATGTTAGTCCTAAGCGTACAAAGAGGACACTTACCACACGACACATAGAAAGCATCCCTGCACCTGCCTCTAGGCATACAACAGAAGAGATGTTGCCTTCTCAGACTGGCTTTCTAATACAGTCTAATCCACTTCAGGCATCACAATAGAAACCAATTTTAAGAATGCTCTGAAGTATTTCACACTCTCTGGCCATATCTAGGTAGGCTGACTAAACCACAGTATGGAGAAACACCCCCTCAACTGAAATTAAATGAAAATACCAACTCTTACTTTTCCTTGCCAAACATGCACAATATACTAGAAAGCAGGACTCCTGTCAGAACAAAACATTCTGCCCTATTATCTTTCAGGCCCAGAGGAGCAGGGAAGCCAACAACAAGACACCGTTGTACACTAGCAAGAATGCAAAATACACAGTACGCACTGCTACATACGACTGCAGAGTTTTACTCACTTCCTTGGTGGTTCTTCATCTTCCCGAAACTCACTCTCTTCTTTCACTTCCACTTTAATCTCCTTCTGTTTCTCCTTTTCCTCCTTCCCCTTGCTAGCTTTTCTCCTTTGCTTTGGCGCTTCCCTACAAGGGTACAAATACAACATATTACTCCAATACTCTTCCCGCTGTCTGCTTTTTACAAAGATTTAAGCAAAAAAATAGATCGAAGTTCAGGTCTATTTACCAAGTCCCACTTCTAAGCAGAAGCGTGAACAAGGATTAAGGAAGAACCTGGCAGCCAGCAGGCCTCCACAGGCTTTAGTCTGTTAGAGAACAGCCCCGATAGCTGTAGGCAATATTTAGAAAACACCATGTCCCATGGGAGCTGTCCCACCTTAGCAGCTAGCACAGGTTCTTTGGCTTCTATTGAGCTCATTCAACCAAGATGACACAATTTTTTTTTGGTCTAAAAAACACAGTGAGTACGTAATCCAATATACTTTTCTAGATGGGGCTTGTAGGTTTCATCTCTTGGATCATCTTTGAAGGGAACTTCTTCCTCACTGATGAGCATGTCCTCTTCATCATCGCTGTTGGGAGAAAAGGAGAAGAGGACTTTAGCAGCAACAGCTTAAGCACTACTGCGAGAACATTCATGCATCATCCCCTAGGACAGGAAAGACACTACTACGTTACTTCTCATCCAGTATGACTGGGGAAAGCTAACAGCTCACACTGACTACGGAGCATGATGACAGCCAAACCAGAGAGGCTAGGGAGTGCAGCCGCCTCTTGTGAGCCCACCTAACTATAGCATCTGCTCCTGAAGGAATAAAGCTACCAGGTGAAGTGCCCAGATCAAATCTTACTACCCATTTCTCCACAATCTCTCTTGACATCTGCAGTTCACCTGCAGTCCAGACTGAAAATGCAAAGGTCCAGGACTAAATGAAAACAGTAGCTACTATCCGTCCCCACAGATCCTTTCACAGCAGCATTCACTTTGAAAAAAAAAAAAAAAAAACCAACAAAAAAACCCCCCAAACTCAGGCCCTTATTTTCCCTTCTTGAGACACTAAATAGGAAGAAATGCCACAAAATAGAGAGTTTCTTACCTGATTCCAGCTGGAGACTGATGCTCTTCTGTGACCTCTGAAAGGAAAAGTCACCATTAGGTTTCAATCTGTGTTCGCTGCAGTGAACTCATCTGTCTCAAGATACCTTCGTCGACATTCAGTGCCAGGAGTGCTGGTGGCAGAAGGTACTCATGACCAAGAAGCACCACGCCTCTACCAGCCACAGTCTGCATACAGCTCACAAAGTTACACCTACACCCAGTTCCCTTCAAAGGTTCCCAAGACCTGACTATCTCCAGGCATTTCCATGACACAGCTTCCCACGTACCGTATTCCAGTTGGTCTGTGTTTGGCTCTGACTTGCAGACGAGCTGCAGGGAACCAGTCTTGGATCTGGAGGCGCGCGAATTCTCAGCGTCACGCTGGCGGGCCGCCCTGCTGCTGCGCCAGCTTCTGCTCGGCCTGGCTGTGCTGACAGGAGAGCCGTGGCTGAGGGCACTGGACACTTCCTCCTCTTCCTTCTCTTCTTTGGGATCTGAAATACCCGTTGTAATCTCTTTAATAATCATAAAAAGCATAAATCCCACCATTTATTCACACTCCTCGCCATTGCACAATGCTGAATAGCGCAACTGCCCCTGGCCGCTCTGATGGGGCAACCACTACCTCCTGAAGACTCGGTGCGTCGTTCTGCCGGGCCAGACAGGACACACCCCAGGGCCTTACCTCAGCAAGCCTTCATTTAAAACTCTGACCACATTTCCTACCGCCTCCAAGCAAAGACACAGACATTTAAAACCAGCTTACATCTCCCTCTGCTAAAGGCTTACAAGATGATTTTTGGCTGGCTCTGATCTCCCTTAAGCACTGCAAGGCAGACACTCGTAAACCTCAGCAACTGCTTTATGAAAGACTAGCTTCAAAATTGGACCACACCGAAAGTCATGTTTGGAGAATGCCCCTAACACACATATTTAATTGGAATCGTACACCTGGTAATAACACGTAGGAATCTGAGCTGGATGTTTCTGGTCTTATGCCAGAGCAAAGAGCACCACAAGCACTGTTAGCCCAAGGTCTTTGCGCTCATTTGTAGCTTCCACAAGTGGTTTCTTTTTGGCTGACGGCTGATCTCCAGAAATGTTTTGGTAAGAGAACAGAAATGGCTGAAGTGTCTAAGTGAGCAAGTTCATCCCTTAAAAGCTACAATTCCCAAGTACGGTTCATTTGATCTCACTTATTGGTGCTTGCGGTGACGCGGGGCCTTAATGAACTCAAATGCTGTTTGAAGTGTCACAAATGATGCGCTGAGGAATTAATTCCAAATAGCTGGCTCTGCTCAGTATTCCAGGTTTGCCACCACTTCAGTACACAAAGCCACCCGCAGCGCTCTGCAGGGCCCGTGCTCTCAGCTAAGCTTTGGCCCACTCCTTTTTACCCAAATATGCTTACACTGCTGTCTAGTTTCAGGTGGGTTTCTGCTGCCCAGCAGCCAGCAGTACCACTGAGATGCCTGGGAGTTCATCAAACACCTGCTGGCAAAGTCAGTGGCCAGTCCTCTGAGAACTGGCTGGGGAGCAGCTCTGCTATGCTGGGAGTCACAGCAAAGAGCAAATTGCATGTCAAGAGCCAGGAGCGTGCCCTGACAGCGAAGGAGGTCCACAGCATCCTGGGTGCCGTTCACAGGAGCACAGCCAGGGAACAGAGAGATACGGTTAGTCCCCTTTACTCAGCACTCATCAGACCATATTTGGATTCCCCCTCCAGTTTTGGACTCCCACCACAAGAAGGCTGTCAACATATTTGAACAAGTCCAGAGGGGACCACCAAGTCAGTTGGGGGCCAAAACACACAACCTGTGAGAAGCAGCTGTGGGAAACGTGCTTGTTCAGCCTAGATGTCCTGGTTTTGGCTGGGATAGAGTTAATTTTCTTCATAGGAGCTAGCATAGTGCTGTGTTTTGGATTTAGTACTAGAAGAATGTTGATAGCAACAACTAAAAACATCAGTGTGTTAAGTAGTGCTGAGACTACTCAAGGACTTTTTGAGTTTCTCCTGCTCAGCCAGGTGCATAACAAGCTGGGAGTACAGCACAGCTAGGACAGCTGACCCAAACTGACCAAAGAGCTATGCCATACCCTAGAACATCATGCCCAGGGGGAGTCAGTCGGTCGGTCAGGGGGAGAGTGATCGCGGCTCAGGGACAGGCTGGGCATCGGTCAGCGGGTGGCGAGCAATTGCATTGTGCATCACTTGTTTTATATATTCTCTACATTCTTTTACCATTATTACTATTGCTATTCTTTTCTCTTATTAAACTGTCTCTATCTCAACCCACGGGTCTTACTTTTTTTTTTTCCTTCCCCGATTCTCTCCCCCAATCCCTCTGAGGGAGGGGGGGAGTGCGCAAGCGGCTGCGCGGTGCTGAGTTGTCAGCTGGGGTTAAACCACGACAGTCCTTTTTTGGCACCCAACGTGGGGCTCGAAGGGTTGAGATAACGACAGATCTGAACGTGTTAAAAAGAATGTGATAAGCATTCATTATATTAATCTAATAGTCGCTGGTCACAATGTTGTTTTATTTGCTCTCAGAGTTGTTGTTCTTGTTCGTGGAGACCTTTCATATATCACCTTACCTGCTGTGTGCACTCCCTGTGCTGCTGGTTATCACTTTTTGCAAGTGGATTAAAGCTACTGTTCTGCTGTACTGTGTAATACTGGCTTATGCTATGATAAAATTATTGGTCATCAGATTAAGCTTGTATTTGTACTCAGTATTGCTGTCACCTCTGTATTTTGGGAATCACCTATTGGGAATTATGAATAATTCTACATTTTACTTTTTCCTCTTCGGAGAGCCAACCTATTGGGGAGACACCTTACTCCATCTTCCCCTTCTTTTCTGGGCTAATTACAACAGTTCTGGAGAATTTTTAATATCCTTGGGATGTTCAAACCAGCATGGTCCTATTGCTAGGTCTCCTGAATGTGGTTCAGTTTTCACTCAGGGTTAAAATCCTACATAAATATACGATCCAGAGATCAACTCCTGCAACAGGCACCGCAGCTACTCCAACCTCAGCGACACCCACTGTAGCTACTCAAACCCCAGCGACAGGCATTGCAGTTGAACCAGGGAACGAACCTGTGCAGGTATCAGTTGCCCCTATACACAAAAAGAAAGCTTGGAAGCAAAAGTCAACTCGTGTAGAAAGGCAGGATGAAAGACCAGGGCCATCACAAGAGGAGGAGGAAGAGGAAGAGCTCATAAATGAGACAGAAACCACACAGTCTCTATCCTTGGGTGAGCTGTGAGATATGTGAAAAGATTTCAGCCGTCGTGCGGGAGAGCACCTTGTCACCTGGTTGCTCCGATGCTGGGATAATGGGGCCAGTAGCCTGGAACTGGAGGGTAAGGAAGCCAAACAGCT